TTATGTTTGTATATTTTGTCACTTCCTGTCCCACTCTGGATTGTTATCCAAACAGCTTTCCTGTAATATTGCTATATCCTCTCGCTTTGCAAGCCTACCATTTTGCCTCTCCCAAACCCTTCCCCACTGTTATTAGCTCTGGGTATTTGATTCGCCAGGAAACTGGTCCTACTTCAACTGAAGCCCATCCCCCAGATCAGCTGCATTCAAACCCAGTACTGGTGCCAGTGCCCCACAAACTGAAACCCATTCCAACCATCCCTACCTGTGAGCCACACATTCAATTCCTTGACTTTATTTACCCTATGCAGCTTGCCCGTGGCTCAGGTAGTAATCTGCAGATTACATGACTCTTCTTCAGAACTTTTGAACTCACCTACTTCTTCTGAAGGGGGAAATCACTGATTTTGAAACATTAACTATTTCATTCTCCATAGATGCTGCCAGACCTGTTACGCTTCTCCAGCACATCTTGCTTTGATGAGAAGAAATGAGATGTGTGAAATAGAGCAGATGAAAGAAAGGAGATAGAGAAGGAAAAGTAAGCGAGGCTGGGAGAGTTTTATTTCAGCAAATTAGATTTCATCACAGTAGAATTAGATTTCCTAGAAGCAGTGTGTTTTTTGTAATTGTTTATTTGTATTTTATGTACTGGGGGCTGAAAACAGAAAAATAATCTGTTTAAGAAACTGACTTTTAAACACGCAGATTTCAAAATTCAACATTAAAACTGCAACTATCCAAATACGGCATACTTAGGAGCAAATGAAATAAGAGATCATTCCACGTTGAAGGAGTTTAATGTTTGACTATTTATCATTTTGCTAACCACTCAACATCAAATTTCTACCAAAATTAGGTCCAACAGAAAGTTTAAAGAAACAAAATCAGATAAGCAAGATACATGCGGCAATTATTTTATACTTGAGAGTAAATTGCATTAATCAAAAAGGTGTACAAACAAATTAAATAATCAAACTGAAGAAGAATGCAAGCAGCTATTTGTTTTAAAGTACCAGTTGTAGTATTATTTTTTAAATCTTATCTAACAGTTGAAGTGCCTGAACTGAAAATTATACTCCATTCTCCATGTCAGGGTTTTAGTTTCTGTGTATCCAATCAAGCTTTGGAGTCACTGCTGAAAGAAAGGAGAGAAAAGGCACTGCTCCTGGCAATGAAAGTTTATCTGAAACAAAAGGAAACCAACCAAAAAGGCATCCCCCATACCTTTTTCATATTTTTGTTGAATTCCTACAGTGTGGAAACAGGCCGTTCGGCCCATTGAGTTTCATTGACCCTCTAAAGAGCATCCCATCCTATCCTTGACCCACCCTATCCCTGTAACCCTACATTTCCAATGGTTAATCCACACAGCCTGCATATCCCTGGACACTATGGGCAATTTAGCATGGTCAATGCACTTAACCTGCACATCTTTGTACTGTGGGAGGAAACATGAGTACTCGAAGGAAACCCATATAGACACGGAGAACATGCAAACTCCACACAGTCGGACACCTAAGGCTGGAATCAAACCTGGGTCCCTTTCGCGATGAGGCAGCAGTGCTAACTACTGAGCCTCCATGCTGCCCCATATATATGCTCCTGTGTCTAAACTTGTACGTAAACTTCTTTTAATCTCTTGGGAAGACCATGCCTTAATTTCCACCAATCAGCTCTTCTAATTTGAATTTTCTGGGCAAATAAATATCACAGGATGAGCCACAAAATTTTTGTTTGAAATCTTAAGAAATCAGGAAAGTAGAAAATCTATTGCAATGGCAAAGCATGGTATCCATGAGCTACTGCGATGCAGGAGCTGACAACAGTTTCCAGTATCTCCACATACTAACATAAGCCGCAAACTAATCTTGTTAGACAGGTGATCAGAACTCTGGTGTGCCCAGTAAGTCAAGCACATAACTCTATAATTGGCTCAATGTCATTGTCTGCATAGGAACACCCTAATTTTGACCTTTTAGATAATCCTAATCATTAAATTCTCACTAATCACCTGCATTTAATTCACCTTTAATACATTGGGATATACATTCTCTTGATTAAAAACTATTTAATTGTTTTACTTCAACGATGGATGTAAAAGATGCACCAAAGTATGGTCTGTCACTGAGATCCCAACTATTTCATGAAATAAAGTAAAATTTAAACAAACCAACAAATCTGGCCATGAAAAAGACTGAAGTAGAATCTGTAATTTGTATCTTATATGCAATGAGCCAAGAGATGAAGATCTCTTGGGTTAACTCAAACTGCATAAATCAGCTTTGAATTTCTCCATTGATGTAAATGTCACACAGATTTTGACAAATGTCACTACTTTAACAACTTTGTCCTGGAGAACACTAACATGCAGTCATCAAATTGCAGAGCCTGCCATGAAATTACTGCACCAGCCTGATTAACCAATGGCCTTCTCAACCTGCACTATTCAAAAGAATTTGGATTTCTGCCCAAAATTAAAATAAAAATGCTGGCTCCAAGCCTCAATGAATGATTCTTGCAGTGAAATGGCAGAACTGTGTACATTTTTTGGCTGTGGAGAAAACCGCAGCGAAAAAAAATTCCAACATAAAATGCACAGCCAAACAGAAAACGGAATTTAAGGTTTGAAAATAAAACACAGCACCTTTCAGCCCAAGAACCATCATATGTTTTTATTAAAAAAAAAATCAAACACACGTCCTAGATGAATATAATTAGTCACTTAATGAATTGAGGCCAGCCTGATAAATCTGTCTTGTACCCATCAGTGTATGCCTAGGCAATCTCTCACATCATTAGCAATCACAGTGGTGATTACCCAGTAGTGGGTGAGCACCCCACCCCCACCAAGGGAAATTTGATACACACAGCTTTTCTTCACTTTTTTGTAAGAGTAACAGCTCCAAAGCCAGTACTCCTCGTTTCAGCTTTATCATCAACCATGGAAAGCTGCAAAGATATAGCAATACACTTCTAACATAAAAACTACTTTAAAAATTCCAAGCCTATATCAACCATTATCCTCTGTCACTCCACACAGCAGCAGCAAACTGCAAGCTTAAGAGGATGATAATATGGAGCAGAGCCATTTTCCACACCAAAAATAGTTACTGCTTAATATCCAGTTTAACTCTTGGTTATACAGGTCTTAAATAACTGTCATTTGATGTTTTGCCTACAATTTCATTTGATTCCACACAAACAAAAATGTCAAGTTAAAGAAATCACTAACTGAAAGAGACCATTATATTTCAAAACCACAAGTCTGCAATTCAACACAGAAAATTAGAGAGTTATCTTCTAGTTTTTGCTAAATTGCATGACTCAACTTACGAGCACAGATGGCTAGGTGAGTTTCATGAACACCCACTCAATCTCAGATCCTTCGTTATTACATTTAATCCTTTTAATCAGATGTAACTTTTTCTATTCAACCAACTCATCTCTACCAAAGAGTACAGCATACGATTTAAGGTCTAGAAAGAAATTGCCAAGTATTTCAACTCAACAAGCTTCACTTAAAATAACTATTTTTTACTAAAAGATTCTGCCACTGATCCATAAATGTAAGTAGTCTGTTAATACTGATGATACAATATTTGCACATACTCCAACTTAACATGGATATGCAGAATTCCCTTTTTAGTAAATGCAGAGGTGCCCCTTTATAATTTAAAATATAAAGAGGTTAGGAGCTTACCATTCCAAGTATGTAGCATGCTTCATGCACTAGTTTCCAATTTCTGACCAAATCAATAAAAGGTTGCACAGCCAATCAAATTATATTGCCAAATGCTGTAACCATCTCAATTCTGGCGTTGCATATTCTTCCACACCCAAGCTAAATCAGCCAAGGAGTACAAATCATTTTCTGATACATTCCGTAATGTGTTAGAAAGAGCCATAAGTGCTACAAAACAAAAGCATTGCTATCGTTTGAAATTACAGAATACTTCAAGTGCTGTTACAATTCCGTTTGCATTTTCTGAATCAAAATATCTGGGAAGGTGTTACAAGACCTCCTATTCCAAAACCAAAGATCTTTTCAGTTCTTTTATATTTTGAGAAATAGCAATAGGCCTGTGAAAAGTGGCAGAAGCAGGCACATTTCTGTGGTGGTGAAGAAAGTATTTGACGAGGCTAATAATGGCCACAGAATAAAAAGGTTAGACAATATTAACACAACATCAAAACACAACCTTGGCAGCAACACTGTTGGAGTACTGCACCTACTCAACGGAAACTTTTAATAGCAGTTTCAACAGCTACCTGAAGCCTCATTAGCCTCCAAATGAGTTGATGCCTACTTGATATTTCTTCCCAAATCTCAACATCAGCTTTACTGAAAATTATACAGGGGCAATTAGCATGTTTTGATAAATTACAGCACTGAAGCAATCCAACTGACTATTCTATAATTTAACATTAAGGTCAAAAATTAATTTTTGGACAAATTAACTAATCTAAGGTCAGTAAATGGGAGTTAATATATCCTAGTCACATTTGGTTCTTTCCAAAATTTATGCAGTTTTTTTGTATTCAATTTAGTTTCACTTGAACAAATTTCCATCAGTGTAGTTTTGTTAAAGTTTCAGAAATACTGTCATACGTTCCAAATCTCTTTCTTTTTAAAATGCATGATATTTGGAAGACATTGAAAAGGGGAAACAAAGTTCAACTGGTTATGGTTGTAAGTCCCACAAAAATCTAAAGGATCAGATATTAGACAAGTGTTTAAAAGTCTACTTTAGATTACACAGGTTTTAAACTTCATTTTGGATTGCTTTATGAAATGAAACTCTACAGTTGCTTTCAGAGCCTTCAATATCCAGGTAAAAGGTAGTTTTCAGCTGTCATGTCTCTGGATAGAATCATGTATCTGCAGAAAACAAATGCAACACCCTATAGAAAGGTTGGCGTCAGATTTCAACTTTGAGATAGAGCTGCTTTTCACAAATGAACATTAGAAAAAGCAACAAACATAAAAGGTCACCAACCTCTCTACTAACTGGTGGCCTTCAACACATTAATGCTATTAGTCACTCTCCCGACCTGCTCCCAGCCTCGTTACTGGGTTTCTGTCTATCTCCTTATTCCTCTTCTACCTTTATCTGCTTCTTCTCTCCCACCCTCAGCCTACTGGTCCCAACAGATATCACATGGGTTGGACTCATCATCTAGGATGACTGTTCCTCGACTGTCAACCCGTTTCCCTCCCTTCCACATTTGCTGCTCCTGCAGTCAAAGATTCTGTCTCTGAAGGAGCAGCAAGAACAAAAGGCAGGAAACCTGTGATTATAGAAACTGGAACAGCAAACATGGGAGACACAGAATCTGTGACTGGAAGTGACACTCAGATTCTCGCATGCTGACTTTTTTTTTAAATTTCAAAAATATATTTTATTCATAAAAATATCTTTATATATATACATGGTAACTTGTGCTCTAAAGTTGCTGCTCCTTGAATCAACCCTGTGCATTGTTTTCCCACACTCACTGAGAATGCTTGCAACTATTCAGATATAATGTACGGGGGTGACCATTCTTCATATTTTTGACACCATCTTTGATTTTTCACAGTCTACTTGTGAAGTTTCCTTGGCAAATATGTCCATCACCACATTGCATTTTGAACTCTGATATTCATCCTGTGAGTACCACATAACAATTAATGCAGAAAAATAACAAGTACTTTAAAAGGAACATTTGGTCACAATAGGATTCTAACAATTCCCCTGAAATAAACACTGCATCTATGATTTTTCTTTTACAAGCACCAACCTACCGTTTGCTGTGTTTAAGTCACAATTTAAATTTTAACGTAGTTCAAATTTCTTTAAAGCAAAACATTTCGAATCATTAGAATGCTATTTAGCGCAATTGTGCCTTTGTATCCTTTCCATAAAGACACTGATTACATGATCCCTAAAGTACAGACACCAGCGATGCCTCAATACCCAATTCAAAAGACTGATCTTCATAAGAAAACCAAGACAACAATCATTAGCAAAGTGTTCCGGTTTGTGTGTATGCGCACAACTGCGTCTGTCCGCTTGGGGAGGGCGGTGCATGCGCATTTGGGGGGGGAGAAAAAGAGTGCTCATCACAGCCAAACCCAATCCTTCTCACATCTGCATCCACAAATTCTACACGTAACCGAACAGTCTTCCCTTCCAAGCCCTGGACTAGAAGAACCTTCAGAGCTTTCCCAACTGAGATTTATTAATAGCACAGACCAGGAATCAAATCTAAGATCTTTTGCTCTTTATGGAACATTCAGACTGTCTTTACCAATAGAGTTAGCAAAGAAATAATATTTGTATTCAAACTGACATTTGCTGTAGAATACTTTACAGATGAAACAGCAGCTTGTACCAATACTATTATTTATTCAGCAGAGTACTTTGCAGCTTTGTGAAGCCAGCAAAAAGCGCACAACAATAATCCTGATAACACTGTACAATTTACTTTTACATATTATACATTTGTTTTTTTGACAGATGCACTAGAAATAACTTACTACTGAAACCTCCAACGAAGTGAAAAAATATTTTAGAAAGGAGGTATTAATCAAGTTTATCCTACTTCACTTGATTCAATGTATTCAGTCACTGTGGATGTTACTGTTGAGATTTCAGACTTGTACCCATTGTCTAATTCTGATTACTAGCAATGCTGACAGAATGCAGAACAAATAATTACTTTCGTTTAAAGTTTTGTTATCAAAAAAAACTTGAAAAAGCACTGTACTGCTTTCTGAACTATAAATTTAATGATTTTTAAGTTTCAAATGATGCTCAAGAGAATCTGGAAAGCTAGTATGAAGGGTCTTCTATTTCAAGGCATCACGCAAAGGTGGAAGGAACCTTTGGCCAAGAACAGACTAGGAAACACCAAGCTAGAGTTTTAAGTCTGAACGTTCTAAGAGAAAGGAAAGATGGAAGGATGAAGACACATCAAGAAATCCACAGTTACAAGCTCCAGAAAAACACAAAGTTGGTTTGATAAGTCGTGTTTCCACAAATTAAAAGTCATACAGTGTTTGTAATTGCATGTAATCATTAGAGGTGACTAAGAGTGACCCTGGTTATCTTCCCTGGATTAAGACTACTTGATTGATTCAATCTTCCCCAACCACAGAACCTCTATATAGCTTTTAACTACCATTAGCCCATACATATGGCTATGTTGCAGTTTTCATACAAGTTCCTTCTTCCTCTCATTAGTTGTAATCACTCAATTGCAGAAGAACAAATGTATCTGATTTTGATGTACTCTTGATAAAAAAAAACATGACATTGTGAAAGAAGGCTACAATGAACCTGTGCCTAATCTGAATTACAAATTACCAAAATGACTCATAATACTGATAGATAGCACCAAAACTTCAGTTAAAGATTTTTGGGGAAGCATTTTTGGGTGTCACCATTGAAGTAAGGGTAGTGAAAAAAGGAAATAAATGGAGAAGAATTTTTTAAACTGTCTGGAAAGGGAAAACTAGAGAGACAAAAGGCTTAATCTCTTCAAGAATGTGGCTTACATTAGCGGAGTTATTCAGTCTACAAGAATCCCCATGTTCCTTACAATTTTCTCTGAAGGGGGCAGATTACATTTGTTTGTCTGTGCCCAGTGCTGCAGACTAATGGCAACGGATTTACTGAAGCTGGTAAAAAGAAAAAAGACAGAAACCAATTTATTTTCCAGCACTGCATCCAGATGATGTTTTTAAAAAAAAAACACAACTTACGGTATTTTGGTTGAAAGCTGACTTAAAAAAAAAACAAAATTTAAAGAATTTATTAAATTTGTGTAACAAGCAATAGTAAAAATAATAGAATAGTTAAGAATATTAAGGACTTACAGATTAAGTGATAGCCTGCGCCACTCCAAAGGACCACATTATGGCTGTCACACTCTATGCACCTTTATCACATTCTGAAACTCCACATTTGCCTTTAACTCGACTGGGAAAGTCTGTTTCAGAAAATTATATCCAAGTTTTGAGGTGAACTGATCATGCGCAAGTCTGTGTCACTTTGATTTTGAAAAAAGTATTCTCAAAAAGTCTGTCCTAGTGTTTCCTTCCTTGCACAGACCCCAGAATCTGCTAGAGACCAGCTAGCCTCAAAACTGATCTCAGAAAGGTCTTGGTAAGGACTAGTGATCTTGAAGAAAGTGGCTTACACACAGCTCCACCTCAATAGAACCCTTTGTCACATTACCAGATATAAAGGTGAGAAAAATTATTAAAACACTACTGGACTGACTGTGACTTTATCTGCATATCAATTGGGCAAATCAAAATCAGTAACAATACCGCAGAGGAAGGGTGTGTATGGGATGGTTTTCTGGACCAATACATGAATGGTCTTATTGTCGCATATTTTACAGTGAGAAGAGCAGTAAAATACAGTGAAAAGCTTTTCCACTGATGCCACGATCTGGCGCCATTTCGAATAGTTCTAAGAGTAAGAAGAAAATTCAGGAACCTTGGAGGAACCAATGAGAGAACAGGCCATCCTAGAGTGTTATTGTGTAATGAGAATGGAATAATTGGCATCCTGGTCTTTCAAGTCCTTTGGTGACCAATAATATGACAGAATTCTTCATCAAAATGAAGAGTGGTGTAGTTGATTTTGGACACTAAGATCCTGAATCTAAATAGAGTGAAATACGATGGTATGAGGCTGTAGTTGGCTATGATAGATTGAAGAGAATTACTTAATAAGGATGGTAGTGGAAAGGCAATGGCAAACATTTAAAGAGCATAACAATTGTCCATTACTTTTGAGCAGAAAGGAAAACAGGAAGGTGGCCAAACCATGGGTTACAAGGGATATTAGCCATACTATTAAATCCAAGGAAGAGGCATACAAGTTATCCAAAACAAAAAGAGATCAATAGTATGTGAAAGAGGTTGGTGGTAGAGAGTTATTTTTTGGACTGGAGGCCTGTGACCAGCGGTGTTCCACAGTGATTGGTGCTGGGTCCACCGTTGTTCGTCATTTATATAAACTATTATTGAGAATTATTGAGAAGCATGGTTAGTAAGTTTGCGAATGACACCAAAATTAGCGGCTTAGTGGACAGTGAGGAAGGTATTCCAAGTTTACAAAGGGATCTTGATCAATTCAGCCAATGGGCCCAGGAGTGGCAAATGAATTTAATTTAGATAAATACGAGGTGTTGCATTTTGATAAGGCAAACCAGGGCAGGATTTACATAGTTAATGGCAAGGTCCTGCAGAGTGTTGTAGAACCGAGAGATCTAGGTACATAGTTTGTTCAAAGTTGCGTCACAGGTATACAGAGTGATAAACAAGACATTTGGCATGCTTACCCTCATTGCTCAGACCTTTGAGTACAGGAGTTGGGACATTATGTTGTGGTTGTACAGATTGTTGGTGATGCCACTTTGGAGGGATATGGGCCAAACACAAGCAAATGACACTTGTTTAGTTTGGGATTATGGTCAGTTAGACCACAAGACATAGGAGCAGAAATTAAGTCATTCGGCCAATTGAATTTGCTACGCCATTCAATCATGGCTGATAAATTTCTCAACTCCATTCTCTCGCCTTCTCCATGTAACCTTTGATCCCCTTAACAATCAAGAACCTATCTATCTGTCTTAAATAGACAGAATGACCTGGCCTCCACAGTCTTCTGTGGCAGTGAATTCCATAGATTCACCACACTCTGGCTGAAGAAGGTTTTCCTCACTTCCGTTCTAAAAGGGTCTTTCTTCTACTCTAAGGCTGTGCCCTCAGATCCTGGTCTCTCCTGCTAATGGAAACATCTTCCCAACATCCACTCGATCCAGACCTTTCAGTATTCTATAAGTTTCAACTAAATCCACCCCATCTTTCTAAACTCCATTGAGTTCTCAAACGGTCCTCATATGTTAAGCCTTTCATTCCTGCGATCATTCTCGTAATATCCCCTGGACCCCTCCAAGGCCAGAACATCCTTGCTGCAATATGGGGCCCAAAATACTCAAAAAACCCAAAATACTGGTCGGTTAGCTCAGCTAGAGCATGGTACTAGTAACGC